AACTTATATGAACCAAACGATCAGTTTTCTAGCACACAATTCTTTTGATAACTAGGATTAACAGATGTTACACAAGCACAACGAATGCGTGCCATCAAACGAAACTCTGACAACTTCCCCGCTACCGCTCCTTCACTCAGAACTGTGTACTAGCAGTGCTTCCCTTACCTGTGAAAGAAGGTACATTTAAATGAAAAGGTTTCACTATTTGTCCTCACCCTAAGCGTCCTGCTGCTTTCCCTGAAACCACTGAAATAGGAGAGATGACTCTTCAGTAAGAAAAGTTGTGCATGTGTCATTAGTTTTACAGCAAAGTGACATTTCAAGGTTGATGGCTTTTAAAAATTAAGGGATGATAGTCCCATAAATGTTTCCAGAAACCATTAAGTAAATACACTAAGTAAATCACCAGGTATCTAAATCACTTGCTCGTAGGAGTCATTTCACTCCTAAAGTCTCAGATCACCTTCTTTGTATAAATTATCAATTACAGAATAAGGAAGTTAGTTTAGTTTATTTACTTTTGTAAAATTGGTCTCTATCCTGGCAAATGTATTCTTATCTCTATAATTTTCCAAGTGGAAACATAATTAAGGAGTTTGTCCAGTTTTTAAGCATTTACTTAACAAGAGTTCTTTTTTTTTTCATTGCCTAGTCGGATGTTTGTTTGTTTCTGTGTTTGTAACCCTCAGTTGTATTAGAGTAAATGGTAATCCCACTAAGTGGAAAAAAGAGACTAACTACATAAAATGCTTTCAAACATTGCAGAATCGTAGATTATTTCTGGTTATGTCCCAGATATGTAGACCCATGCACAAAAGCAAAATCTGCTGTAACTTTGCTGCAACTTTGTCATGTTTATTCTCCCATTGCTCTCCAGAAGGGATGCCTATGCAGTACAGTCTGGGTTAGGCATGCCTATAATTAAGGTTGTCCAGCACTTTCCATTCTGAAACTCAGATTTTCAGTCAGCCTTCCAAAAGTTAAATCTGAATTTTCACAAGGATGATTGATAGCCTCAGAATGACTTTTTGGGCCAGAACTATTAATCCGCTTGAGAAACAAAGCTAAGGAACACAAATTATTTTAAAAATTCTGGCAGGCTTTTCTTTCAAGCAAAGCCTTGAAACTTGATCAGTACTATTTCTCTGAAAATGCATCCAAGTGCAACATATTAAAGATCACAGCTTGCAATTGCTTAGCAGAGATTCACTAAAGTTTAGTAGCTCTAGCTTCAGAAGACACCATTGTAAGTTGGCCACCATGAGAAAAGAGAGCAAGGAAAAAAGCAGGATCATAACCCTGGATTTCAGGAGAGAAGACTTTGGCCTGCTCACGGATCTGCTTGGAAGAATCCCAAGGGCTATAGTCCTGAAGAGAAGAGGGATCCAGGAGAGCTGGTTGATTTTCAAGGATCACCTCCTCCAAGCTCAAGAATGGCCTATTCTGACATGCAGGAAGTCAGCTTCAGGAATCCCAGGTCCATGAGACCTGTGAGACTCTGGAGCAAGGAAGACTTGTCCTCGATGGAGGAGGATTGGGTAAGAGAACATTTAAACAAAGTGTACATACAGAAGTCCATGGGCCCAGATGAGTGCTGAGGGAGCTGGCTGGTGTCATTGTAAGACCACCCTTGATTATCTTTGAAAGAGCAGGGTGATCGGGGGAGGTTCCTGAGGACTGGAAGAGAGCAAATGTCGCTCCTATCTTCAAGAAGGGCAAGAGGGAAGGCCCAGGGAACTACAGGCCAGTCAGCCTCACTTCAGCCCCTTGGAGGGTGATGGAGCAAATCATCCTGGAAAACATTTCTAAACATATGAAGAACAAGAAGGGATTGAGGTAGTCAGCATGGCTTACTGAAGAGGGAATTATGCTTGAGCAACCTGATAGCCTTCTATGATGAGATGACAGGCTCAGTGGATGAAGGGAGAGCAGTGGATGCTGTTTATCTTGACTTCAGTAAGGCTTTCAACACTGATTCCCATACCATCCTCACTGAGAAACTCATGAAGATCAGTTTGGCTAGATAAGTGGACTGAAAACTGGCTGAACTGCCAGATTCAAATGGTTGTGATCAGGGGCACAAAGTCCATCTGGAGGCTAGTCATTAGCGGTGTACCCTGGGAGTTGATACTGGGTCCAATACTGCTTTAACCTCTTAATTAATATCATGGACAACGGGACAGAGTGCACCTTCAGCAGGTTTGCAGATGATACCAAACCAGGAGGAGTGACTGATACACCACAGGGTACTGCTGTCGTTCAGAGGGATTTCAGGTTTCTCCACCAGCCCCTCCACAGTCACAGCATAACACAACACACAAAGAAACAGGCTAGGATTTAAGTGATAATAGCTTAGCTTTGCTTATATTTATACTGCCCAACTTATCCCTTTATATAGGGTAAATAGGGTAATAAACTACTACGAACTTTGATAATGAAAGAACTGATAGATGAAACTGAAGTGTGAAGCGTACTGCGCCTTTGCCTGTGCTGCATTTTTTGCTCCCCCTGTTTGACTGTATTGTGTTTCTACTTCTGGGATCCTAACTATTTCTGCTTTATCTAGATGTCTCTTTTTTTAATTTAGTCTTTCTTTGTTTTTTCTCCTTGATGTTTCTTGAGTATTTTCTAAAGACTTTCATTTTTTGCTGTCGTTACTTTGTTATGTTTGTACCCTGTTTCTTTCCATTCTGTTTCTTCCTTCCTTACCACTTTTTCTTTCCTTATTATGTAACGTTCTTGCCCTGGCCCATCTTTCCTCTCTTCATCTTGCTGGACCCTTGGTTATTTCCTTTCTTTTTTCATACTGTTCTCTCTATCTAAATTGTTTCTTAGATTTCTTTTTTTCCACTGCTCTCTCTGCTTTCATATTACTGCCTTCACAGCTGCGCACAGTTACTGTTCTTTCCATTCCCTTTCCTCTTGGATGCGTAAGAACAATGTAGTGTTACCATTTCCATACATGGGAAAAATCTTTGTATTTTGGAGTCTAGGCAAGCCTACAGCCCTGCCCGCACAACAAAATTTTTCCATTTCTGGACTTTTCCCTCCCCATTCACCTGCTGTCCTCACTCCTCAGCATCTGCCCCCACTTTAGGCCCTTGGATGTGCCCTGATAAACCTCTCTGCTAAGAGGCAGCGAGTTCTGTTGCAGGACTCCCTTGCATGACGTTACCTGAAGATGGCAAGGAGCGTGTGAGAGGAAGTCTATAAAAAGACTCCCAGAAGAAAACTGAAGACTGAAGTAAATGTCTGGAAGCTGTGCTATCTGAGATAAGGGAAACAGCACTATGAAAGGGACTATGGACATGAAGCCCCAAGGACAAGAAGTAGTCCTTTTTTCCAGGAAGACGCATAACTCAACTTGCAGCAAGCAGGAAGGAAGCAACTTCTTTTCTGTTTTGTCTTGCTGCTCCAAAGGACTTTTCTGCTTTCATAGTTTTGGGTCTAATTCTTTCAGAGTTAGTGACTCAGTAAGGTGAGAGTAAGGTGTTCAGAGTAAGGTTACTGGAATGGAGGAACTCTACAGCACGAGGAGATTGGTGGTTTGCTCTCTTTTAGCTGATGCTCTGGTAAAAGCTCACTCGGCCGCAAGGTGCTGCTATACCTGCCGTGGCTGGGACATGCTGAGCCCATCTCTCAGTGGCATCACACTTTGGATGGGGCAATGTTTGACACTGCTGGTGGACTCCAGCAGTGCGCTCCACAGAATGACAGATTTATTTAGAGTTTTAAACAGTGCTAAGGTTCTGCAGCACAACACGATTTTTTTCAGCCCAGTCCTGCTGCTGCCTGGCGTAGAAGGACCATAACGGAGACTCCTTACACTTGGAAGGGACATGGATGCACAGCCCAAGCTCATGTTATCCCCAGAAGAAGTCAGCCTTGTCTGTTCAAAAAGACTGTGGTATCTCCATGTAGCCTGCTGCAGGGTGTCCTCACTTTTATATCTATTGTTTCCTAATTACCTAGGCTAAATCTACAGTTGCTAAAAAAGTCCACTGCCTTCCATTCAGAGGACAAGCAAGTTCTTGGTAACCTTTTTTGTATCAGAAAACCATTGCTTCCCATGCTTTTCACCCCAGCAAAACAAATGCCAACCTTTGAGGTAGGATACATTTTTCTGACTCTATTTTATTATTACTGTTTTCCCTCTGGATTATTTCCAGACTACATCTTGCTCAATGCGCAGTGCCCCGGATTGCAGGCAGTTGTTCAATTGAGGCCTCTCCAGGGCCAAGTGGAGCAGAGTTTCCTCCTTTGTCTGCTGTAAAACGTGCCTAGAATAGAGAGGCCTTTTAAAAAAAAAAAAAAACATGCAAGAGCATCACACCGGAGACCTCTGCTCTGTTTGCATGGGGCATTTTCGGCAGGGCTGCACTCTCGATGGGCGCCTTGTCCACGTCATGGACCTGTCAGTGATGGAATTGGGAAATGGTAACAACGGAAACAACCAGCTAGCAAATCCGCCTGATTCAGCAGCAGCATCTGGGACGTGCAGACTGCAAGATGCCTGTTAAGCACTGGCATGCCGGTGGCAAAGTGGGAGAGGTGGAAAATAACACACAGAGGAAAATCGGGGGAGGCTAAAGAGTGCTGTAGCTATGGCCCAAGGCAAGGCAGGGGGTCTTGTATTTAATAAGTTAGAAAGTGGAAATAGCTTGTAGGCATAGTTGTGGTGTTTTACTTCTTTGGGTTAATACTGATCGTAAGTAAAAGGAATAGTTTTGTGGGTGTTCTCCTTAGGTGGAAAAAGAAATGAAATGTCCCAGAAACAGGCTAGTTTTAAGATTTATGAATGCAGAAGAGCGAAGAAGACAGACAGAAACTATTTCTTCAGCTACAGGAGCTTGAAAAACTACTGGAAAACATTGAGAGGGTTCACCCGAAAGCTTCATCTACAGAAGCGGGCGAATTCCCGAGCAAACTCAGGCGAGTGCCGAGGAGGTCTCTCACGAGCAAGCAGGTTCAGCGCGCAGAAGCCAAATTCAGTTGAACAGGAGCAGCAGCCCTGGAGCGGCGGGCGCTCCC